AGATTTTATTCAAACACTATCCTCCCTGAATATGTATAGAAAGTGTTTCTAGTAACACACTTAGGTGCTGAGACAAGCATTATAGTCAGTGCACATTTAGTATGTCACATGGAAGAGTAAACTGTAAGAACACTACATATTTTTCCTATTCATTATATATGTGTCAGAAGTAAAACAGATTTTACATGTGTTGTAATTTCTCCCACCAAAATACCCTGACTACCGAAGGGCTCCCAAGGCCTGAGGTATAGGGTAGATGGGAGATTACAAACTCAGAACATTTAGATCTACGACAAAAATGAAAATTCAGTTCATTCCGTTATCAGTGAAATACACGAGTATTTATGCATCCTGTCAGTCAAAGTCATGGGTGTCATACATATAAAATTTACCTTATCATAAAAGAATATATGTCGCAGAGATTTGATGGCCTTTGCTAGAGTATCAATGGGAAGGAGGCCACAGTAATTGCAAGACTAATCTCTGTCTCTGGTTTTAAAAGTCCCCTAAAAACTTAGAATACTAGTTCACAGTTACATATAAAATGATAAAGAGAAGAGATAACTAATATAATGACCATAAACAAAGTCAAGAAACAACATAACAGAGGGAAACAACAGAGGGAAAAAATTGCAGAAAGCACCGCTCACAGACTAAGTCCGCTCAGTGGTCCCGAATTTCGGCTCTATCTTCCTAAGCTTACCAAAGTGAAGAGGGGGGGGGGGGGCAGTTTACAAGAATTTACAAGAATTTAGTCCGAGCTCTCTCTTACCACTACATATCTAACAGAGATTAGTTGGCTTTTGATAGTGTATGAGATGCCAAGGCCAAAGCACCGTTCAATGTAACCGTATAGCAAGATAGAGCTGAAATGATGAGATACAATTGGACTTAAGCTGCAAGTCGAGCTTCTTGCGATCTTTTACATTTTGTTCAGGTATTACCGTTTCTCTCTGCAGATTCCTTGACGACTGCAACTTTTAGTCCTCTGCCCCCAACACCCCCATGTAAATTTGCCTTCACCTCGGCATACACGGCAAGATAGAAACACAGAAGTTACTGAGTGGTGTTTACCGCAATCTTTTTCCTTTTATTGGTGGCGTTACCGTTCATATCTGCAGATTACTTCTTGTACCGACAAACACGACTTTTTATCCACCACAAGAATATCATTTTTGATTTATCCTAACTTAGTGAATCCAAAAAAGATTAACCCCAATGTTAAATACCAATCACAGAATTCTCTATTTTTCTCAACTACCTCCCCCTTCAAAAATTAAATTCTTCACTCACACAAACTCAAAACAAACCAAATAACGCCACAAGACAGCAGAAAACCGGCCAAAAAACGACCTAATAGCCAAGGTAAACGCCCATTTAAGTGCTTACGTAGAGATTACAGGGAGAGAGACAGTACTATCTCCTCTCCCTCATTTTCCCCTCATAATTCACCCTTTTCTCCCTCAATTCTGACACTAACTCCTCATTCCGCCCCCAAGGAACTTAAATACCTCGAAAAAAACACTAAAAAAAAGAGCCTAAACGAAATAAATTGACGATAATTCAATCCTTATCCGGTCTGGTTCTTCGCCTTCTCTCTCACCTCCCCTTTCATCACCCTTAAAATTATCCCTTATTCACCCCTTTTCCCTTCTTGAAAACCTCCCCCACGCCACCCTAAGGTCCAACTCACCCCTGTGCCATTGTCGCAAACTATGATTTTCCTTCCTTTGCTGTCCATTTTGGCATTAATTCGCCTCGACGCTCCGGGCCTGTGTTTTGGGTGGTGACTGATAGCAGTGGGGCAGAGGGGGTCGTTCACATACGCCAGCGGTCGGGGGGAGCGCTCTCTCGCTCTCTCTCTCTCTCTCTCTCTCTCTCTGTTTGTCTGTCTCTCGTTCTCTTTCTCTTTTTCTCTTTCTCGTTCTTTTTCTGTCTCTTTCTTCTCTGTCTGACTGTCTGTCTGTCTGTCTGTCTCTCTCTCTCTCTCTCTCTCTCTGTTTTTCGTTCTTTCTCTCTCTCTCTCTCTCTCTCTCTCTCTCTCTCTCTCTTTCTCTTTCTCTCTTTTTCGCTCTTTTTCTGTCTCTCTCTCCTTTCTCTCTTTCTGTCTGTCTGTCTCTTTTTCTCTCTCTCTTTCTTTTTTTCGTTCTTTTTCTCTCTTTCTCCTCTCTCTTTCTCTCCCTCTCTCTCTCTCTCTCTCTCTCTCTCTCTCTCTCTCTCTCTCTCTCTCTCTCTCTCTCTCCTTTATCTCTTTCTGTCTGTCTGTCTGTCTGTCTCTCTCCCTCTCTCTCTCTCTCTCTCTCTCTCTCTCTCTCTCTCTCTCTCTCTCTCTCTCTCACTCACACACACTCTCTCTCTTTCTCTCTCCCTCTCTCTCTCTCTCTCTCTCTCTCTCTCTCTCTCTCTCTCTCTCTCTCTCTCTCTCTCTCTCTCTCTCTCTCTCTCTCTCTCTCTCAACACACACACATGTATGTGTCCAACTATCTCTCTCTCTCAATAC